GCCAACCATTATGAATAAAAAGAATGCATATTTTCAGGGCAATATCTCATCCCTCTGGAATTGATTTATACACAGAATAAGCTAATGGAAACAGCATATTCTCTAATTTTCTAAATAAAGAGTTAATGTTTATTTTCACTTGCAAATCTTTGCATATTCACTGTCTTTCCTCAACCCTAACAGAATAAAAAAAAAAATTTTTAGACAGAAAATCACCACATCAATTCTCCTATTTCTATTTACCAGTGCATATACAGGAAATACAGCGATGGAACCAATGAAAGGCCGAACCTTTTGGTAGTCTCGAGCTGCCGCAGCGATCACATTGCCAAAAGCCAAATTGGACATCGTCGATCGAAAAGAGTCAGGATCCATTCTTACTGGTGCGCCCAAGCAAGCAGCTGGAGAGAAATGGTCGATAGCAGTAAAGCAGATCCTGTCGGTGTAGTGTCGTGAAGAGGTCGAGCGGAGCAAGAGATTGGCTGCTTGCAGCTGCGGATGAGTTAGGGCCGAGAAGAATTGCTACAGACGACGCGTGATCGGACAACGAGTGATCGCCAACGTGGTCGGAGCGTTGGCGCAATAGCGGGCCGAGTGATGCAGCCGACGGCGAAGTTGTTGTCGGGCTGCGCGAGCGGTATTTTATTTTATTTTTCTGTTTATTTTGGTGTTTGCATTACAAATTATTGCGTACATACACCGCATACAGAGATGTATTCGGCGTCCAATCTTGACCGTAGATAGACACCGTGATCTACGGTCAAGATTGTACAACACATACATCTCTGCATGCGGTCTATGTATGCAATAAATTTTCTCTTTGCAGAGGATCGAACACGATGAGATGAATACTGATCGCTGCAAGCAAAAGCAATTTTGGGTGATATGCATTTCAAATATCTCGAAGTTGAATAATTTTTTTGGGGGTATTCATGTATGTATACACGATTCTTACATACATAATTCATTTTTCTGAAATTGTTTTTATAATGAAAAATACTCAAGTAATTAAAATGATTTGAAATTATTTTCTCTACCCTTACAACCAAAAAAATTAATTCTTTTCTTCATTGATGAATTGTCACATTTCACGTTCATAAGGTCATGCCTCTCCATTTTGTATTTCTCTATTAGGC